CACACTATTTAAGTTAATTTAGAATGATAAATAGAGGGTGGGAGTTTAAAAGTATTAACTTCTTCACACTCCTTTTTGAACTGGATTGCTGTTAATAAAACAAAACTGTATATTTGTACATGATTGACTTTTAAACATGATTCCTGCAGGATCCAATCTGCAGCGTTTTACTGATTCACTGTCATCCAGTGTATAGAATATTTCTCCTGCCTCTACCGTCCACCATTTTGTCCTCTTAGGGAACTTTTAAGTTGCTAAAAGTCCTCTTCTCAACTCTTACGGGATCTCACCTTAGGAGCACTCTTAAGAGCTAGGATTCTTTAGGAATAGCTTTTTTCTTAACTAGAAGCTACTCGTCACTTTTAGGGGAAATTCTAAGAGTTGGTCAAGATTCTAAGAAAATTCTTAGAATTTGGCCGCTAGGAGCAACTTTTAGCACTAAGAATCTTTAGGAATACGGCCCCAGGGCTTTGACTTCAAAATTCGATATTCAAATATCAAAAAAAAAAAATGTTATATATATATATTTATTATTCAAACGAATATTAGACAGCCCTTAAAATTCTTAATGTATTTAATGACTGTAAATAAAATAGTTAGCTCCCAAAGGGGTCGCTGTGACGTGGCTAGGCGGATAACAGCTAAGCTAGCTAGGTCAAAAACTCTCTCAAACTACATAAAAACTGAACAACAAAGAATTCTGAGCATCAGCGGTGAGTGACCCATTTATACCGAACCTAAATCCATAATCAAATCCTCTTCAAATGTGTCCTAAAATGTTTGTTTCATGTTAATGATTTTGCGCTAGAGGAAGTAGCCGCAGGTTAGCCTCTCTGCACAGACCATGGATCTATAACACAGACAGGCTCCTGCTGAAAGCCTGTTGTACTTGCTGAATAATGTTAGGAGCAGTTTAATAAATTATAATTAAATATTCAAATATATTTGAATATTTAAATTACTAAACAAACACATTTCGAATATGATTTTTGTATAAAAGTCAAAGACCTATTACAGATTGGTGCAGTCACGATTTGAATTCACTCATTTCTGTTTTTCTCGAGGGAATCAATGAAAAAAACTACTCTGGGCATGAAGGCCAAACAGCTGTAATCATGTTTAAACAAGAGAAAAGTCAGAAAGTGTAATATGGGCCCTTTAAAGCTCAGAACCGGGTCAGAACATCCGGAATGCTCTTGTTGCACATTCTGCCACGTTCTAAATGCTGTCAGTGAAGAAAGTTAAAATCAGGCTCAAGACACTCCTTTTATTTATTAATTATTGCATTTTCCATATTCTATTTTAGTTCAGTTTTATTGTTGTTATGACTATTATTAATATGTATCGTGACCTTTTAGTCTCAAATGTACATGTTTTACTTGTTATAGTATTGTTTTCAGTATCCCCAGTGTTTCCTCTACAGGAGCCCTCTGCACTGGGAGCATTGGGCCTCATTCACCAATAACTTTGAAAGAAACTTCTTACATTTCTTCTCAAGTTGTTCTTAAGTAGATTTTGAAGAAGACCCTACGTGGGATTCATCAACGCGCTCGTAAGCCGCTGAATTGTTCCCAGTTGTTCTCTTAGCTTGATGAATGCCATTTCCTCGTAAGTAGAGCGCGCGTGTCCGGTGCTTCATTAGCATAGGTACTTAGCATAGGTAACCGCCCACTAATGACCATAAAAGGCCCTGGCACACGGCCCTGCAGACGCCAGAGGAAACAGCAAGTAAAGCAGAGTATACACGGAGCAAAAGAGTCACCCTTTTTCCTTCTTTTGTCAGACTGAGAATAAAGTCATAAAATGTTGACTTTAAAGTCGAAATATTATGAGAATAAAGTCGAACTAGCCAAATTATTAGATCAATCAATAAGAATTATGAGATGAATGTCAAAATGTTATAAAGATTAATTTAAAAATATATTATGTTTTAATTTAAAAATTAATCTCAAAATATTTTGGACCCTGGGAGGAGATCAAGCGCTGAGACCAATGTAGACCCGAGGAGAGACTGGAGAGACCAGCACACAGAAACCAGCGCGGACCAAGGAGAGACCGCATAGACTGAGACCAGCGCGGACCGAGGAGAGACCGCATAGACTGAGACCAGTGCGGACCAAGGAGAGACCGCATAGACTGAGACCAGCGCGGACCAAGGAGAGACCGCATAGACTGATGGTGCTTTCAGACCGGGACAGTCGTTGCGTCTGCGTTCAATGCAAAGTCAATGGGGAGTCGCGTTTCAGCGTCGCATTGCACGGACCTCTCGGCACACACGCACGGACCGCCCAGTAGAAACGCACGGACTTGGCAGGAAAGTCAAAGGGGAGGAGAAGGAGCGGAAAATGAACGCCCACAGGAGATGGATCCCGCTCAACTTTTCCTCGAGATGTTCGTGCAGCGACCAATCAGAGAGCACGCACACCACTGACGTAATCACGCCACTACACAGCGTATATTTTCCTGTCTGGTCCCTCTATTGGGGAAATTGGAGCCCCATGCCCGTTACAGAATCAAACGGAGGTTTTCGAACATCATCTACAAGGAACTTGCAGAAAAGGAAAATGCGCCACCATCCAATGTGCAGTGATAGCCATGTGACCTCATTCCATGCAATTGTATATATGTAAATAAAAGTGTTGTGTGAATCTCTTGTGTCTATGTAGATACATTTCCTAGGTTCTTTTTAATCTTGTCATTAAGAGGCGTAGTTGTAGAAGAACCATACATTACAGAATAAATGAGCAGATACAAAATTTACTTTGGCTCCTCCTTTACAGCATATATATTGGCATATTGACATTGTAGAATTCTCCACAGCTCTGAGAATGTATAAGGCGAGTACAAAAATTTTCTATAGTTTGTTTCAGCCCTTAGCACCTGGTTGATGAGGGAACAAGGTTTGTTCAATGTTTGCATTACTTTCTCTTGTCTCTGTGATATGCTACGGTTGTTTACTGTTGTATGCTACATTGGTCACTAGATGGCGTGAAAACGGCCCTAAATCAAGGGTCGTTTTAAATAGTTTAATTACACTGTATTATGATTAAGAAAGTAAGGATAAGGGAACAGCAACTTCACATTGTAGAATTCTCCAAATCTCAGGTAATATAAGGCGCGTACTAACATGTTACCAAATTAAAGTACAGAGGAATGTCTTTATATGACGATAACAAATGTTGAGGGCCCAATGTTAACCCTCTGGGGTCCAGAGCGTCGGATCCGACTCCTGCGCACATGTTTTATAAATGTTCAATTTTCTCATGAACGGCAAAACGTAGCGACTTACTTTTTTTTTCTCCGTGAAGTACACATTTCAGGCATTACAGCGCTAGTTTTGTTTTGTCTGTGTGACTTTTGGGGAATTTTCTACGTGTGTTTGAAAGTTGGTGTCCAATCGGATCTTCGAGCGGTCTCCCGTGAGGTAAAACAGCCAAAACAGTAAAGTTATTTTGCTTACACGCTGACACAGGGACTGCCAAAGATTGTCAGAGAGTAGGATGATCCACTCTCCTGTGTGTATTTATTGTCCCATAGTTGAAATTACAGCTGCGATTGCAATTACTGATGCGTAAAAGACGCATTATTTTAGCGGAATGTTACACAAATGCGTCCCCGACACAGCTAATGTAGCTTTTGATCACTGATCTACGTGATCTACGAGTGATGTGTGTGTTCAGAGTCTGGGCTTGAAAAGTGCATTACACAAAGATAGGAGGAGACGCAGATGCAGCGCTCACAAGAGCCAGCACTGGCTGAACAGTGCGCATTATTGATGTAATTATATTATATATTTATTATTGACATTGATAAATACATTATAATGATATGATGTATATGAATATAAGATGTTGTTTTTCTTTCTTTGTTTTCTTAGTTTTTTTTTGTTTTACATATCTTACAGCTGTGATACTGAAGCAATATATAGACATAGACAAACTGCTTCAGGAAGGGCATCAGGAGTACAGCGTTTTTTTCACTTGTAGTGGAATTTTGTAAAAATTATAATAGTCACAGGTTCAATTTTTCCCCCATCAACCCCAAGACCCTAAATAACATTTCTATACAGTGTAAAAAGTTAGCAATAGCATTTCATTGTGTTTTTCAAAACATTTTGGTGAAATTGAATTTCCGTTTCATTTTTTTCTTTGTCTTCATGATTCCATATTTTTTATATATAATTCATATGACAGCTGTACACTATGAATATTATAAATCCACAGGTTGTACTGAAAAAAACAAAGTTTACTGCTTGACTCTGCATCACAAGATGACTGTTTTATGAGCAATTATACACAAAGAAAACCAGGCGAGGGGAACAGTTCCCCCAAATGCGCTTAGCACCTTGAAGGGTTAATATCTGCCATACTGCCCACACCCGGTAAGGGTTTTAGGTCAATAGCAATTTGGAGTTACTCGGGCACCCACCAAATACTATTCCTGCCCCTCACCTACTTAAAGTTTATTATTACCTGATCGCAGTTTCTACTATTTAAAATTCCACTCTATCATTATCATGTGTGGTGTGTGTTCAACAGAGTCTTTCTCCATGCCCACTACTCTCTCTGCCTCTGGTGCCCGCAGAAAAGGTACGCACTGGACTCACTCCCCGTACAGGTGGTACTTTCTTTTCCACTAGTGAACTCATTCCCTTCCAAAGGCTAAAATGTCTGGATTTGACATTGCCTACTATTGGGGTGCAGAAGGATCATTAGAGTCACGTTTTCAAAACCACAACCTACGGTCTTTATGACAACAACTTTTTAAACTTGACTTCCCGTCTCGTTTAGCTGTTAAGTGTTTCACCTTAAAGCATTTTAACTATTTAAAACATACATTAAACAGACACCACACACTTCTCAGTAAGGCACACTAAAGTATGTAGCGCTATCACCAAAATGGTGCCCTCACGAACAGAAATGCAGTCAGTCTCTTTCAGGGAATAGGGACGCATCCATGTTGCGCTGCAGTTGGGGCACGCATTCCATCGGCACCCCCGACTATCGGGGCTGGGGCCCTCTGTGGTCCGGCGCTGGCCGGCACTGGACAGGAGCGAGCCGCGAGCGAGTTCCTTCCCCGCAGGGGCCGTTACAAAGGCCAGAGTTGCCCAGGATCCCCCCGTCGCTGTTACCCCCCCCACCCCCCCCCCCCCCCCCCCCCCCCCCCCCCCCCCCCCCCCCCCCCCCCCCCCCCACCCCCCCCCCCCACTCCCCAATCTGACGGAGGCCAGATAACTACAGGTACAATGTGTTTTAGTAAACTGTGCAAACTTATGACTGTGTCTCTCTCCTAATCTCATGATTATCACAAACTTTTGTTTTGCTTTAGAGCGGACGTCATTCCAAGTCCAAATGTCAGACTTAGAACCTTAACATCTCATGCACTTTAAAGTCTGCAAGTGTTTCTCTTGGGTTGGGAGCAAGAAGGAACCATGAACCCTTTGTGATTACTGTATGTAAAGAAATGGAGAAGTTGAGCTTTAGAGAGGTGGGGGTTGCCCCTCAGCTGATATGGCCAGCCATTCCTCCTTGGACTTTACCATCCCCTGACATTGACATGTCAGTGTTAGAAGGTAAAAGGGGAAATAATGACCCTGAATATTTTAACCTTGTAGAACAGGCGTTGGGAGGGAGATGGGAAGGCCATTTACAGATCTATACAGACGGCTCAAAGGAAAAGGAGTCTGGAAGGACGGGGTGTGCCTTTTTTGTGCCTCAGTTAGAGGTTACTTTCAGTATGAGATGTCTGTGCACACTGCAGAAATCACAGCAATAACATGTGCCCTTCAGTGGGCAAAGGCATCTAAACAAGACCAAATTGTTGTATGTTCTGACTCAGCTGCGGTGTTAAACTCAATAGGTTTTGACAAAGGCAATGCCAGGCCAGATTTAGTGACTGAGGTACTAACTGAAATATCTGAGATTGAGCAATCTAAGGGTCGGTGGGGTTTCTTTGGGAGCCGGCTCATGTTGGTATCTGGGGCAATGAAGTGGCAGATATGGCGGCAAAACATGAGTGAGTGGAAAACTAAGATAAAAATGCATGTTACAGCTGCTTGGCAAGCAATGTGGGATGGAGACAGCAGGGGGCGTCATTTATACTCTATTCATTCCTCTCTCAAATGTAAACCAGTAATAATTGTTACGGATAGGAGGTCTGAGGTCATCCTTACTAGACTGAGACTTGGGCATTGTGGGCTAGCGTGGGACAGATACAGTACCTTGCGAAAGTATTCGCCCCCCTTGAACCTTTCAACATTTCGCCACATTTCAGGCTTCAAACGTAAAGATATAAAACATATTTTTTTGTCATGAATCAACAACATGATTGATGACTTGCAGCTGTAATTGCAGCAAAAGGTGGCGCTACAAAGTATTAGTTCAAGGGGGCCGAATAATATTGCACGCCCCACTTTTCAGTTTTTTATTTGTTAAAAAAGTTTAAATTATCCAATAAATTTTGTTCCACTTCACGATTGTGTCCCACTTGTTGTTGATTCATGACAAAAAATTAAAATTTTATATCTTTATGTTTGAAGCCTGAAATGTGGCTAAATGTTGAAAGGTTCAAGGGGGCCGAATACTTTCGCAAGGCACTGTATATAGAGGGTAAACATAAAAGTGAGTTATGTGCACACTGTAACGAAAATCAAACTGTCGTTGTCATGCATTGTCCAGTATATTTTGGTCAGCGAGCCGTTCTGAAGGAGTTGGTGTCTAAGTTAGCAATGGACTGGAATCTGAAGTCACTCCTGAGCCCAGCTAGAGAACAGAACCATGTTGTGAGAGCGGTTTTGAACTTTGTGCGAGCAGCTGAGCTGAATATCTGGGTATAGGCAATAGGCTTGAAGTCTATAACCTGCAGAAATGAATGCAGTGCACAATATGACCGGGAAAGGCAGCAATGTGCGAAGAGGCGCCAAGTCTGCCGGAAACTAAAAGAAGAAGAAGACCCGGAAGTAAGAACAAGAGCGTGTTTTTGTTGTTTCCCACAGCCGCATTTTCCTTCAGTCCCTCCTTGGATCTACAACAGACTCCCACAGAGACAGATGTAAGTACAAGACTTTAAACTCTTTATTGTCCACTAACAGACTGTGGCTTTGAGTCACGTGGGCCTCGGGGATTCCAGCTTTAACTTTGTTTGTGCCAAGATCTGAGTGATTCTGTGTCGGGGCTAATGCTAATGCTAATGCTAGTCGTTAGCCTGTCCTTTGTCCTCTCCACTTACTGTTTTCTCTCAGCTGTAGACTTAGTTCAACATTCATTCATGTGATTTGTAAATAACGTGTATGTTGGACTTTTCTTCACTCACTTTAAAAAAAGTCAATACAATAGAAAGGTCCAGGATCACGTGCTCTCACAGGTTCAATCCTTCTCGATCATTGTTATTTAGCCTCAAATGAAGCTGTTCATCAATATCTTTAGGGTTTCCTTCAAATGTAAGGTGCATTTGACCTTACATTTCAAGAGGACCATGTTACAGTCCAGAGGCTGTGCTCTCTGCTCTGTGTTCTCTGCTCTGTGTTCTCTGCTCTGTGCTCTCTGCTCTGTGCTCTCTGCTCTGTGCTCTCTGCTCTGTGTTCTGTGCTCTCTGCTCTGTGCTCTGTGCTCTCTGCTCTGTGCTCTCTGCTCTGTGTTCTCTGCTCTGTGCTCTGTGCTCTCTGCTCTGTGCTCTCTGCTCTCTGCTCTGTGCTCTCTGCTCTGTGTTCTCTGCTCTGTGTTCTCTGCTCTGTGCTCTCTGCTCTGTGTTCTCTGCTCTGTGTTCTCTGCTCTGTGTTCTCTGCTCTGTGTTCTCTGCTCTGTGCTCTCTGCTCTGTGCTCTCTGCTCTGTGTTCTCTGCTCTGTGCTCTCTGCTCTGTGTTCTCTGCTCTGTGTTCTCTGCTCTGTGTTCTCTGCTCTGTGCTCTCTGCTCTGTGTTCTCTGCTCTGTGTGCTCTCTGCTCTGTGCTCTCTGCTCTGTGCTGCTCTGTGCTCTGCTCTCTGCTCTGTGTTCTGTGCTCTCTGCTCTGTGCTCTCTGCTCTGTGCTCTCTGCTCTGTGCTCTCTGCTCTGTGCTCTCTGCTCTGTGCTCTCTGCTCTGTGCTCTCTGCTCTGTGTTCTCTGCTCTGTGTTCTCTGCTCTGTGCTCTCTGCTCTGTGTTCTCTGCTCTGTGTTCTCTGCTATGTGCTCTCTGCTATGTGCTCTCTGCTCTGTGTTCTCTGTTCTGTGCTCTCTGCTCTGTGCTCTGTGTTCTCTGCTCTGTGCTCTCTGCTCTGTGCTCTGTGTTCTCTGCTCTGTGCTCTGTGTTCTCTGCTCTGTGCTCTGTGCTCTCTGCTCTGTGTTCTCTGCTCTGTGTTCTCTGTTCTCTGCTCTGTGCTCTGTGCTCTGTGCTCTCTGCTCTGTGCTCTCTGCTCTGTGCTCTCTGCTCTGTGTTCTCTGCTCTGTGCTCTGTGTTCTCTGCTCTGTGCTCTGTGCTCTCTGCTCTGTGCTCTCTGCTCTGTGTTCTCTGCTCTGTGTTCTCTGCTCTGTGCTCTGTGCTCTCTGCTCTGTGCTGCTCTGCTCTGTGCTCTCTGCTCTGTGTTCTCTGCTCTCTGCTCTGTGCTCTCTGCTCTGTGCTCTCTGCTCTGTGCTCTCTGCTCTGTGCTCTCTGCTCTGTGTTCTCTGCTCTGTGCTCTCTGCTCTGTGCTCTCTGCTCTGTGCTCTCTGCTCTGTGCTCTCTGCTCTGTGCTCTCTGCTCTGTCTCCAGTGAACCCTCCTCAGATCCAGATCAGTCACATCTCATCGTGGCTGAAGTTTGTGTCTGTCTTAGGTCTCACTCTCTCTCCCCCTCTCCTTCCTTCTCTCGTCCCATCCTCTCTCTCTTTCCTCATCCACCTCCTCCTCTCTTCTTGAGCTCGACCTGAAGCAGAGTCTGTGGGCTCTGGGTTACAGCATTGCATACTATTTTTCTTATTATTTTGTGAAAATGAACCCACGCTTATTTTTTTATTACATTAATATTTACAGAACTTTCTTGTGGATAAGGCCTATTTATCCTTTTGTCAGCTTTTTCAAAATTAGGAAATGTATTTGAAAGCTCTGGTTTTCAGTACAAATACATGTGTTTTGGGCTGAAGAAACTTTCGTATTTATACAGTGCCTTGCGAAAGTATTCGGCCCCCTTGAACCTTTCAACATTTCGCCATATTTCAGGCTTCAAACATAAAGATATAAAATTTTAATTTTTTGTCATGAATCAACAAGTGGGACACAATCGTGAAGTGGAATGAAATTTGTTGGATAATTTAAACGTTTTTAACAAATAAAAAAACTGAAAAGTGGGGCGTGCAGTAAGTAAGTAGTAGTAATCTTTATTTATATACCGCCTTTTCACTGCACATCGGAGTCTCAAAGCGGTTTACAATTGTTATTTTTGGGAGTGCCAGTACAGGAGGCACATACCAGACCTATTGCACATATTTTTAGTGGTAGGGGAAACCGGAGCACCCGGAGGAAACCTACGCAGACACGGGGAGAACATGCAAACTCCACTCAGAAAGGCCCTGGTCCAACCGGGATTCGAACCCAGGACCTTCTTGCTGAGAGGCGAGAGTGCTATCCACTCAGCCACTGTGCCGCCCAATATTATTCGGCCCCTTTACTTTCAGTGCAGCAAACTCAGTCCAGAAGTTCAGTGAGGATCTTTGAATGATCCAATGTTGTCCTAAATGACTGATGATGATAAATAGAATGCACCTGTGTGTAATCAAGTCTCCGTATAAATGCACCTGCTCTTTGATAGTCTCAGGGTTCTGTTTAAAGCACAGAGAGAACCATGAAGACAAAGGAACACACCAGGCAGGTCCGAGATACTGTTGTGGAGAAGTTTAAAGCCGGATTTGGATACAAAAAGATTTCCCAAGCTTTAAGCATCTCAAGGAGCACTGTGCAAGCAATTATATTGAAATGGAAGAAGTATCAGACCACTGCAAATCTACCAAGACCCGGCCGTCCCTCCAAACTTTCATCTCAAACAAGGAGAAGACTGATCAGAGATGCAGCCAAGAGGCCCATGATCGCTCTGGATGAACTGCAGATAACTACAGCTGAGGTGGGAGAGTCTGTCCATAGGACAACAATCAGTCGTGCACTGCACAAATCTGGCCTTTATGGAACAGTGGCAAGAAGAAAGCCATTTCTCAAAGATATCCATAAAAAGTCTCGTTTAAAGTTTGCCACAAGCCACCTGGGAGACACACCAAACATGTGGAAGAAGGTGCTCTGGTCAGATGAAACCAAAATCAAACTTTTTGGCCACAACGCAAAACGATATGTTTGGCGTAAAAAAAAACACTTGTTGATTCTTGACAAAAAAATTTATGTTTATATCTTTATGTTTGAAGCCTGAAATGTGGCGAAATGTTGAAAGGTTCAAGGGGGCCGAATACTTTCGCAAGGCACTGTACATGTAAAAAGTTCATAAATATTAGGGACTGATGGTGTAGCACAAAACACATAAAACTGTTTGAATAACTCGGCTTTTTGATTAGCCAAAACATTTGTCAAACAATACACATAAAGGTCAAAATCAAATAAGCAACTGAACATGATGAAGACTAAATTAACACAAAACAAGAGGAACATTTCAGCTGGTGATCAAAGGAGGTAAACAAGACTACACAAAACAAACA